AGTCTTCTTACTCCAGCGCTTTACTTTCAGCCCCTCATGGCTGGGAAAAGCAGCTCGATGTTGAAATGATTAAAGTTTTCATGAGGCTTCAGGTCAGCTTGCAGTCCTCTCATGCTCACATGGTTCCTGCATGTTGTTCCTGATATATAATGTGAGAAAACGGGGGACAGTAGTGGAGATCTTTAAGGTGTAGCAGGGACGTTATCTGAGCTGTCTGGGAAATAACCTGAAGGATACAAGAGAAATTATAAAAAGTTGAAATTATTGTTTTGCTCTGGAACAATAAGAAGAATCTGACGCCTTCTGAGGAGGTTTTGGAGAGCATCCATGGCTGATTTTCTCCATTTGACATCCTGCAAACCTCAATGGTTCCACATTCCTTAAAATCCTGCTGACAAACAGCTTAGAGAGTTTGTGTCCTCAACGACGCCTTGCTGCACCAGGAATAACACGGAAAAGGTGTTTATTAGTGAATTTGGTGCTGTTGTGCTCTTTTTCCAATCCAGTTTCCTACAAAAAAAAAATGAAACAAATTCACCAACTTAAAAAGTTAAAAAAATCTGCAGTCCTTTTTTTTTTGAGAGATTTTCTGTCTGAATTCAGAGCCTGATTATTTATTTCTGAAGTTTTTAGATCTCTGTCATCTAAGGGCGGTGGACTCCATGACTTTCTACCTGATTTTAAATCCTGAATCCCAGACGGGAAAATCTGCCTCACATCATGTCATCTCAAGGCCGTGAACATTTCAAACGGATCATCCAATCCAATTGGTTCAACGTTTTCTGTCTAAGGAAAATAACTTCTGTAGATATGAGCTTCCACTAAAACATGGAATCAGGTTTAGGGAAAATTTTAATTTCCTTTCTGGATTAAATTTGAATTGTTACATTTTTAAACCTGCTCTTTGCTTGAAACGATACCTAAACAAGATTCACTCTCCTCCTCATATATATTAAATGTTCCAGTGTTTGTTGGGATTTTAAGGATTTCCTCTTTTTCTGAACAATTTTAGATTATTAGATGTTTTTATTTTGAAATATAAATGAACTAATCAAATGAAAAAGTCTCTGCAGAAAAATAAAAACACCCTGAAATCCAGAGGCCTCAAGTAACAAAGTACAAATACTTCCTTACTTCAGTAGAAATGTTGTCTATCTATACTTTAGTGCAGTAATTATTTTTTAGACAATTTTAATTAACAATTCATTGGTTGACTATCATTTATTGATTGACAGTTGAAGTTTTTTTAAGCATTATTATTATGCAGGTTTATTGCACAGGGTGTTAACGTGGGTATTTATATAGATGTATATGTATACATATTTATGGTTAATGCACTGGGTGTCAAATTTAAAGAGAAAAGGGTTATTGCACAGGGTATTAAATAGTGATTGCACATTATACATTGCTCAAGTTATTGCTGTTGTAGTGTCACATTGTAGAGTCTGGTAGCAGTAGGGAAGAATGACCTGCAGTAGTGCTCTTTTTTACAAACAGGGTGTAGAAGTCTTTCACTAAAGGAGCTGCTCTGCTCCTCTACAGTCTGGTGCAGAGGGTGGAAGGTGTTCTCCAAGATGCATGTAAGCTTGGACAGCATCCTCCTCTCAGCCACTTCATCCACTAAGTCCAGAGTGCAGCCTAGGACAGAAAAGGCCTTTCTCACCAGTTAAATTCATCTCTTTCTGTCCCGCTCTGCGCTGCCAGGGGCCCAGCAGACCCGTAGAGGATGGCTGACGCCACCACAGAGTCATAGAAGGTTTTTAAGCAGGGGCCTCCTCACTCTGAAGGACCTCAGCATCCTCAGGTGGTTGAGGCGGCTCTGGCCCTTCTTATACAGGGAGTTGGTGTTATGAGTCCAATCCAGTTTATTATTGACTTGAACACCCAAGGATTTTAAACTCTCCACAGTTTCTATGTCCTGCCCTCGAATGTTCATGGGGGAGTTATGTGGGGGTTTTCTCCTGAAGTCGATCACCCTCTCTTTGATCTTACTGGTGTTAAGACACAGGTGGTTCTTCTCACACTAGTCCACAAAGTTCATGATGACCGATTGATACTCCAGCTCTGTCCCCTCAGAAACACAGCCTACGATGGCAGAGTCATCGTAGAACTTCTGGAGATGGCAGCTGTCATGTAGGTGAAGTCTGAGGTGTAAAGGGTGAAGAGGAATGGTGGGGCACTGTTCCTCTTTACCCTTTCTCCTCACCGTTTTACAGACTGCCACCTCTGACTGAAAGGCATGCAGCCACACGTACTGAGGGCGTTCATTGAGGTAGTTGATGGTCCAGGCAGCAAGATGTCTGTCCACTCCAGCGTCCTCCAGGCTTCCCCCTCAGCAGCTTTGGTCTGATGGTGTTGAAAGCGCTGGAAATCAAAGAACATGACTCTCACTGCACTCCCACACTACAAAAACGATGTAGAAGCAAGTAAACATTTCTTAAATTAAGTGTATGTATACTTATTTTAAGTAGGTAAATGAGATAGTTTGCCAATGAAATGAGTATTTTTACTCTTAAAATAAGATAATTAGATAAAATGCACTTGAAATAAGACAATGCAATTGTGTTTTTCTTATTTTAAATGTAAATTGTCTTGTTCCATTGGCAAAATGTCTCTTTTACCTCCTCAATTCAAGAACAAATGCACTTATTTTAAGAAAAAATTAGTTATCTAGATTTAGATTTTTTCCAGTGCAGTGGTCTCCAGGTGGGTGAGTGCCTACTGCAGCAGATAGATGATGGCATCCTGCAACTGCAGTGCACCTTGCACCATGGTGCAAAGGTGAGCTAGGATGAGGCGCTCCATGGTCTTTATCAGGGGGGAGGTCAGGGTTACTGGTCTAAACTGGGCCGGTTCCTTGGCGTGCAGCGTTTTAGGAACTGGTACCACACAGGAGCTCTTCCATAGAGTGGAACCCCCAGGCTGAGGCTCAGGTTGTAGATGTAACTATTTACTTCTCCTGCTTACATTTTAAAAATAGATTTGTTAGTTTTGTTTCATTTAAGCTCATTTTTATCATGGCCCGTTGGTATTTTAAAAAATATAAACACTGAAAATAATAAGTTTCATCCAGACAATACGTAATTTCTTTGTGGTTGGACTCGGTGCTGCCCCAACTTGTTGTTCGCCACGTACCAAAATAAATAGTTTTTCAACATGATGCAAAATTTAATTTGACACTGTTACCATTAGTTTTGTAGAATTGTAGAAACATGTTCCTTTAATAGGGTAGTGCAGTAAAGCTTTTGTCCTTAACATTTTTTCCTGCATTACTTTTACTTTTATACTTTAAGTAGTTTTTAAAAATGTTGCATTTTACACTTTTACTTGAGTAAAAGCTTAAAGTGATCCTCTATCTTCTACAGAAGTGTTTTTAAACAGTAGGATTTATTCATATACTGGAGTAATAAACATTTATACTTCCCGTCTTCCTCGAAGTTCCTTCCATGAAGCTGTTTTCTCCATCTGGGAAGTAAACGAGGCATAAAACGCTAGAGGTCAGGATATTTAACCTGAGTTCTCCCATGCTCAGTTCTTCCTCCTCCTCCTACAGGTGACATCCTCTTCCTCATTGTGAGATATCAGCAGAAGGAGACGCAGCATAAAGCTGCTCCATTCCTCAGCAGTGGAGATGTTTGTTCTGAGGCGTCTGATTGTGTCTGATTACTCTCAGCCGTGAAGTTGTGTCATAATGAAATATGAAACCATCTCAGGGTGAAAAATGAACGTCAGACTTTCCTTATCTGTCTGCTGTACAATGCAGATATCCCTTCTTATCAGGGCACTGGGGAGATTTTAGTGCAGGTGGGTGAATAAATAAATACTAAAACCATCCAGAATCTAAAGTCTTGATGGATGAATCGCTGCCTCTCTAATGTTTTATGGAAACCTGGAGCCAGTGAGAGAAATCACACAGTTAGCAGCGTCAGGAGGTCAGAGGCTTTGTTTTTATTTGTCCTCCTCAGAAGGTTACTGATTCAAACACCTGTCGCATCTTTTAAGCATAGATATTATTCTAACACTGGATAAAGCCGCTTTGATCAAACATAAGACATAAAAATAAGATAAGGTTTCAGGGGAAAAAATTGTATTAAGAGGTCAAATTAATAAAAAAATTCTTCGGAAGTTTTCTGCTTCCTCGGAACCTTCATGACCTTCACACACCCTGTAGGGCTTCCTCTGCAGAGGCCAGTCTTCCTAGTAGGGTCTGTCATGATTGTTTTAAGGGATCTGACCCACATGCAGAGAACCACTCAGAGAACACAAGTCAAACAGGTTTATTGAGGTAATTGTACAGGATTTGGTTCTGGAACCCTGTCAACTGGTGAACCGGAACTGGAAAGTCTGGAGGGGAGATCACAGTGATCAGTTCAGGGACCGTTGGAAAATTGACTGAGGTTTGAGTTCTGTGGAAGCGGGACTCACATTTGAGGGGGTTCTTGTTAATCCTTGTACCCAGTCAATGTGGGTTTATCCAGAGAAGAGGGAACTTGTTGGAGAGCGGATAGGTAGACATTCGTTGGACCCTGAGGAGCAATGCAGCGGACTCTCACTTGGATTTCCGAAAGGGACTTGAACGGCACATGTGGATGTTTCCCCAACTCAGGGTGAACTCAGTTAATCCTTCCAGGGGGAGAAGGCCAGGCATCCAGTTACACAGGAAGGCTTCCTGCCGAAAGGCAAAAACAATGTTAGACTCAGAGAAGCAAAGGCTCAGGTTAGACTCAGCTAAACTCAGCTTGGGTAGATTACCCAAAACTGGCAAGCACTCTGGCGTCGAGGTAGTGACAGTCCACTGCTCAAATTCTCCTCAGTAATGATCCAACGAGCCGCAGGTGTGCAGGAGAGCCAACGAGGACAGGGCACCACCTAGTGGTGGAGGGAGAAAAAACACACAAACAACCCGCACAAACTGGATTCCTAATAGTGTCCCTCTGCCTGAACTTCATTCATGTTTTCTTATGAATTCAACTGATCTGTTTCCTCCTGTTTTTCTGCAGCGTTGTGCACAGAGGAGTGTGTCCACGGTCGCTGCGTCTCTCCTGATACCTGCCAGTGTGAGCCCGGTTGGGGGGGGCTGGACTGCTCCAGCGGTGAGTACAGAAAACCTGGGAAGACTCCCAAAGCTGGAGGCATCAGAGTTTATTATGAGGAGAGCATGGCCTGCACATGTGGGGTCTCTGGGGGGGGGGGGTCAATGCCCATCACATTTCCTTTTATTTATGTATAGAACATTTTACACACCCAGAGGGACATAAGTGTTGCATGAGTCCATAAAATAGAGGAAACCAAGACATATATGAGGCAATAAAATACAGAAAATACAGTAAAATAAATAGACCAATAGCAGCAAAGATGTTGGAACAGGAAGAAGTGTTTAGGAATAAGAGGAAGGAATAGACGACGAGCCGAGCAGAAATAACGTTCAGCTTCTAGAAGGTAACAGTTCTGCTCTACAGCGCTATTCATGCAGTCAGACCATGCTATATAAATACTAATGTTTGTGTATTATCTGTGTTTAATTATGTTTTTGGGATTTTAGGGATTTGAGAAAAATAGAACTATTATCGTAATATTTAAATCATTAAGCAAAAGTTAGGAACAATAGTTAGTTTCAACAACTGGAATGTTAAAAAAAAAAAAAAAGTTAACTTGTGTAAAAAGATTTCCAAACGGATAAATTCCAATCTTTGCCCCAAATAAATAATTGCTGCCTGAATAAAGGTTAAAACATCCACTCATCTTCTAGACCTGCTGCCTGGGGAGGGGTCGGTACACTTTGGGTGAGAGGCTGGGCACACCCTGGATAGCTGTATACATATGTATACATGTGTATATATATATATATATATATATATATATATATATATATATAATGTGTGTGTTTATAGTGTATAGTGCGTGTATATATCTGTGTTTAGAACGATGATAGTCTCTGTTTATTATTCTTAGGTTGTGAGCTTTGAATAAACTATAATGGTTGATTTGTGTCATAAAGTGAATTAGATCTTCTGAACCATTGATCAGTCATGACAGCAGGTAGGAAAGATAAAGAAAGCAGCTGCATGAACAGCTTCACGGTTTTATCACATTAAATGGTGCAACCTGCACCTTCTGCAGGAAAGATTAATGTTAAAAAACTGGTAAATCATTAGAGGGCCAGACAGTGATTCTATCCATAGCCTCAAGATCTCTGATGATGAGTAAGACAAATGGCGAGGGCCTGGTGGCCGGGCTTTTACCCATGGAACCCGGCCGGGCCCGAAGAGAAAACATGGGTCCCCCTTCCAATGGGCTTACCACCTGTAGGAGGGGCCAATGTGTGATGGATAGCAATCGAGGGAAGGGACCTTGGCGTTCTGATCCTCGGCTCAAGAAGCTGGCTCTTGGGATGTGGAATGTTTTCTCTCTGGTGGGGAAGGAACCTGAGTTAGTTCAAGAAGTTAATTAAAAAAGGGGACCGGAGGGTGTGTTCCAACTACAGAGGAATCACACTCTTAAGCCTCCCTTGTAAGCTGTATTCCGGGGTTCTGGAAAGGAGGGTCCTTCGGATAGTCGGATCTCAGATTCAAGAGGAGCGTGTGGTTTTCATCCTGGTGGTGGAACACTGGATCAGCTCTACACCCTCAGCAGGATCCTGCAGGGTGCATGGGAGTTTGCCCAACCAGTCTACATGTGTTTTGGGGATCTGGAGAAGGCATTAGACTGTGTCCTTTGGGGGGGTCCTGTGGGGGGTACTCCGGGAGTATTCATTTAGTCCATCTTTTCATACAGTAAATGAACATTTCCATTCCATTAAGTGCAGCAGTGATCAAATTTAAACAGTTTGGGAGGAAAAAAAAACATGTTGCAAAAACGCATTGATATGGATGTTCAGAGCATTAAAATGTATGTGCAAATATGGAGTATTTTTGGTTTGGTGTTATCAGTATCAACATTCAGCTGTATTATAGCGGTTTGGAAGAAACTGTTTTGGAATCTGCTGATCCTGCATCGAATGCTGCAAAGCCGTTTCCCAGAGGGCAGCAGGGAGAACAGTCCATAGTGGGGGGGTGAGGGGTCATTGATGATTTTACAGGCTCAGGACATGCAGCGCTTGGACAAAATGTCTTTTATGGAGGGAAGAGAAGCCCCGATGATCCTCTCTGCTGTTCTTACCACTCTTCTCTGTATTAAAAATACTTTGCGCAATTTATAAATGTGTGTTACAGACCTTGGTTGCGTGCACTGAAGTGTATATGAAAATAAAATAGTGAATATCAATCTATTTAATAATTTTTTAAAATGGCATTTTAAATAGGGCTATAGGCTCATTGGTCTTTTGTCAAAAAAAAATAAAATAAAATAAAATATTCGCAGCACTCCCTGTTCAAGGCTTCCAGCTGCCCTGCATACATCAGGTAGAGGTATTTCGCTTAATTCTGTGACATTTCTGCTAAAATATTAATTAAAAAAAAGTTTCGAAGTTTTTGTCAAGGGTATTTTTCCCATACATTCACTAGACCTTAATAATGAAATTAATTCTAGCTAAGAAAAACAGACTAGTTTTAAGCCTTTAAATGAACTGGTATCAAGTAAATTTGCCTTGTTTTTAAGCCTGTTGTATGCTTGTTTTGAGCAATAATTGGTTAGAGGTTATTTAATTCTAAGCAATAATGACTAATAAATGAGAATGCATTGCTTAAAATAAGAGAAAAAATCTTAACGAGTAAAAGAAAAAATAGATTTTTATACTTTAAGTTTTTTTGGATGCTTACTACTTGGATATTATGTTCTTGTTTTAAGAAATCTTACCAAGTCTCATTTGCTTGCTGCACTGGCAGATTATTTTGCTAAAAATAAGCAATAATTCACTTAAAACACTATATTTTTTTCGTATTTTTTAGAAGGCATTTTTTGTTGTGAGCTCTTTAGTACACTGGAAAAACGATCTTGAAAAAGGTAAAAATGTCTTAAATTAAGTGTATTTATCCTTAATTTGAGTTGGTAAATGAGAAAGTTTGCCAATGGAGTAAGTATTTTTACTCTTAAAATAAGATAATTAGATAATATGCACTTGGAATAAGGCAATGCTATTATGTTTTCTTATTTTAAATCTAAATAGTCTTGTTTCATTGGCAAAATGTATCTTTTATCTCCTCAATCCAAGAACAAATGCACTTATTTTAAGAAAAAATTACTTATCTGGATTTAGATTTTTTCCCGTGTAAAAGCCATATTGCTCCAGTTGTGAAAGTAACATCAAGAAAAAAGATTTTAAGAGGATAATTTTCTGTGCTCTCTGCCAGACAAGACAGGAAAAAACAGGAAAAAACAAACACTCAGATCAGGATCTCTGTCTCCATTTCATGTTCAAAAGTACTTCCAGTTGCCATAAGTCGAAAGGTGAGGGATTCGGAAAAGTTCTAGCTGTTTTCTTGTCCTTAGTTCTTACATTTTCATCATGATGGCATGTTGGTTTATGGAAGCTTAATGTTTCATCCTTGGGCTTCAGCTGCTGCCAACTTAGATAATCTTTATGATTTGTTGCTAGTTGCCTTTTTTAAAGAAGACTAATGATCTTTTTTCAGTTATTTCAGGCTTTGGTAAAAAAAAAAAACATGTGCAACCTCTCATCCCTCTGCAGTAATGGTCTTCTAAGCCCCTCCTACTTTCAAAGCACTCAGATATCAGGTGTTGAATTTTAGTTGAATTTCATATCATTATGAAACTGATTTATGTAGTTCAGGTTGAGTCAAACTACTACGAATATTAGAAATAAGTGAATTATTTCAACAGGTTTATTTTATTATTTAGCATATTTAGAGTTTTTCATCACTTACTTTCATCTCAGAATTATTCCTCCCCTAACAGCCTGTTTCAAAGTATGACTAAATATGCAAATTATGTGATGACACCATCTAGACAGCCAATAGCTAATAGGCTGAGTTCAACATTAAGTTTGTCCTAATATTTATCTCTGTCTTTAACCCTTTAAAGCCCGATCCAAGAATAAAACAAAACTTTTTTGGGGGGGTTTGAATTCCTTATTTGGCCTTTTAACAAAATATGTAAAAAGAAAAAACAGAAATACATTTTTGATATTAATAATTTATTACTATGCGATAAGTCAAGATTATTTTTTGTGTAGTCTTCTGCCCTCTGTTATCAGGTATATCTGATTGTGTACAATAGGAGCAAAGTTTTTACCATTAAATTATGCAAAAGGTTTCAGATGCAAAACATTTCAGAAACTGTATGTATCAAATATGATACATTTGGCATTACAGGGTTAAGATAATCACATCCTTCTTATATGTTTCCTTAAAAGGAAGGCTTTAGTGCTTCTAACACGAATCAATAAAACATTGTTGCACAAATACCGTTAGGGTTGAACTAGGGATGCACGATATAATCGGCCTGTATCGGCCTTAAAACTGAATATTGGACATCGGCCACCCCACCGATATTTTACCCGATATTTGATCAGCTTCTGAGTTTCTAAAGTCTAAAAAAAAAAATACTACTTCTTCTTCCTCAAAAACTTCTTTTTTACAGACTTAAAAACTTCTAAAGACGAGGGAAAAAATATTGATACATTAAAATATCCCAATATCTTCATATGCTGATATATTGCCATTTAAAAACACCATATCAATCTCTTTTACTAATGAAATATCGCTATATGTCATCGTTATGCTACGAAATCCCCCGAAAATTCATGAAATTTTGCCATATTTTTATATGTTGATATATTGACGCGGTATCGATCTATTTTACTAACGAAATCTCACAAGAATTTGCAAAATATCACGAGAGTTTGTAACGATGAAATTTCATGAGATTTTGAAAGTAAAATAGATTGATACAGCTTTAACATCAGTATCGATATCGGTTATCGGCTACATGAGTTTTAAAATATCGGCATATTGGATATCGGCCAAAATCCCAATATCGTGCATCCGTAGGTTAAACAGGAATCTAAACACCTGCAAGGACATTAAAATGTCCCTCAGACATGGCTGACTCCATGATGAAGGCATCTGCCCTCTTGTTCAAACTGGTCATGATCACAGTGAGATTTCACAATAACTAGAAATAGCAAGAGTCAAGA